TTATTTTCTTAAAAGTGGTGTCTAAGAACTTGCTGCTGATATTTGGATTTGTTAGAAATCACAGAATTGGTATGGGTTCTGCCCAGAAGAGAGTGTTTGAGTCTCAGTCCTTCCTCTAGCCCCGTGGGGGACCTGGGGAAAGATCCGTGACTTCCCTAATCTCAATCTCTGTCTTCTCCAATGGGGATGATGGTGCCTGACCTGGGGAGTCATGTGAGATCAGGTAGCAATCAGACAGTGCCTGGCACATGCTGAATCATAAACAGTAGCTAATTATTTACTCTCATAGCTCTCCAATGATGTCTCTGTTCATCTAATGACTGTGTTCTAGCCACCATAAAATGATAAGATGATTTAATAGCATCAGATACTGCCCATGTGTCATTCATTCATAAATTTAATGCTTATTGAGGTGTCCACTACCTGCTGGAAACGGTCCCAGACTCTGGGCAACAGCATCAGCAAGACAGATAAGTCCTGCACTCACAAAGCTTTGAGGAATGAGAGGTTGGGCAGCTGGTTCCGACTTTCTAAGGTTCTGTGTCTGTCCTCACCCCGGGCCACTGGTCTTTGGCCCTGGAACTCTGGTTGCCCTCACGTGGTCCACTGGGGAGAGTGCCTTTCTTCTTGTTCTTGTGGCCGTTGCCTGGCACTCTTGAGTAGACTTCTAAGGCTCTTCCTCCTGCTTCACTTGTAGGGTGATCTCTAATGCCCTGATGGGATGGGTGTGCCTTGCCTTGAAGGTGGGAGGGATCAGATGATAGAATTCATGCACCTGCCTTGAGAGGAGCCTGTACCTCTTTCCTGCATGGGGAGGATCCCAAGTACCCTGCTGGGGCTTGCAGATGCTCTTCCCTCCGTCTGAAGTGATCTCTTACTTTTGTCAGCTTGAATCCTGCTCAGCCTTTCAAACTCCACTTGGAAGGACCTGGAAGCCTGACCTCCCCTGCAGTGGCCCGGTGCTGGTCTCTGTCCTGTGGTCCTGTCACAGCCTGCACTCCCTCTTCCACACTCCCTTCATCCTGCCTTGCCATGATGTGCACCTGCATGTCTAACCTGCCTCCCAGGCATGCAGGGTGGGCTCCGTGTCATTTGTCTCCCTGTGTTCCGCACCTGGCATGTGAGGGCCACTGGTGAATATTTATTAATGAGTAAATCAAAGGTGAAATCTAGGGACTATTTTCCCTGTCCAGAGCCTTGGTTTTCACAATGACAAATACTTCTAGAAATAGACATCTGCAGGAAAATAAAAAATACAGAATGAGAAATACACTTAGATATCAGACTTCAGGAACCCAGACTGCACAGGAAAAGCAGAAATCTCAGCATTGCTCCTGCTTGGTTGGGAAAGATGAAGTGATGATGGCATCAGTGCTGCCAAGTGTGCAGTGGGAGGGGTCCACACACACACACACACACACACACACACACACACACACGCTGCAGCGCTCTGGAAATCGGAGCCTTTGGGGAAAGCATTTTGTTTTCGTCAGCTTTTTTTGCTGCTGTGACCAAAAGACGTGACACAAGCAATTAGAGGAGGAAAAGTGTATTTGGGGCTCACGGTTTCAGAGTCTCAGTCATAGACGGCTGACTCCTTTCCCCAGGGCTCAAGGTGAGAYGGTATCATGGTGGAAGAGTGTGGCAGAGGGAGGCGGCTCAGGAYGTGATCAGGAAGCAGACAGACACTAAGCTCAGCTCATCAAACATATACTCCAAAGGAAGCCCCCAGGGACCCCCCTCCTCCTGCCATACCTTACACACATTGTGTTCAGTCATCCCCAGTTAATCCCATCAGGATTAATTCACTGATTGGGTTAAGGCCCTCAAAAACCCATCATTTTCCCTCTGAATGTTCTTGCATTGTCTCACACATGGGTTTTGGGGGACACCTCATATCCAAACCATAACAGCAGTTCATGAGAAGGTCTTGCAAAACTCACAGAAAAAAAACTCTGTTTTTCTACAAATCTACCCTAAGAAAATATATATGAATAAGGCTTAGGTAAAAAGATATCTTCATTACCACRTTAAACAAATAGAATGGCCTATTTAATGTCCAAAGGTAGAAATGATGATAAAAATAATGGTGGTAGAGACACAGGTGCAGTTCTAGGTAGCCAATAAAGAGGACGCTAATAATGAGGAGGTTGATGAGGAATTTTTAAGGGATTGAACATCGTTCACAACATAATGTTAAGAGAGAAAACATCACCAGCACAGAAGGGGGGCTGCAGAGTAGCCCTGGCTGAAGCAACAGGCATTGGCCCAGTGTTCACATTCCAGTGTCACCACTAATAGCTGAGACTGTCCCTCCAAGCTCTGGCTTTTCCTCTGTAAAGTGGAGGGAGATGGTGGAACCAACACAGAGCTAGGATCTAGGATCTGAGAATTTAAGTAAGGTGGGGTAGGGAGACAAACTCTTAGCTCAGTTACYAGAACAGGCCCTTAATACCCCGACTGTGGGTGCTTGGGTAATCTACACTTGGTGAAAAATGATCCGGTTGGGCGCCACCACATCCACACAGCATGGAGACGGAGCATGCTGGACAGTGGTGCCGATTCTGAGGTCAGGGTCCCTAGGGCAGCCCAGTTATTGGCCTCCCCTCCTTTCTGTCTCTCCTCCTTAGTATGCGCATTAGCTGAAYGCCCATTTGGCACTGACTGGGTGTGGACCTGGTCACTGGCGCTACAGAAACCAATGGACATGAGGGAGATAGACCCGTGGTGTGTCACGATGGGGACTGCGACGGAGGCCACAGCCATTCCTTGGAAGCCAGTCGTGTTTAAATCCCTAGTAGGGCTACGGCTCCATTCACTCAGCCACTCCTTCCCTGGGGAGGAGATGAAGATAGAGCAGAGCAGGGGCRTGAAGAGCAGTTCCCTCCCTGCTGTGCATAGAGTGTAAGCCTCCAAGGATGCAGGGGCTGGGGAGAGGTGGAAACAGGACGGGCTGTGGAAAATAAAGGCCACAAATTGAATCTGGTGGTCATTAGTGTAAAACCCAGCACARGGTAAATCAGGTTAGCAAAGTGCCGCTGGAAGGAGGTGTATTAAACCTGAATTATGCAGTGGCACTTGGTCAATGTGGAGAATGGGAGAGATTTGAGGGCCTGATGCTCTAGTGTGCTGGGGAGCAGGGTGTCTCCTTGGGCTTTGACTCCAGGGCTGAGGGACTCCTGGTGCMATAGGGGTGTCCAGACTGTTGGGATGCTCGGCCCAGGGTGTCTGATCCCGGATGCATTACTGCCAGGAGTGTGGCCTGGGTGAGTTCCCTCACCTGCTGAGACTGGCTCCTTGTAACCTGTACAACAGTCTAAGCACAGCTACCCTCCAGGAGCTATAGGGTGGGTGGGAATCAGACAGGTAGACCAGCTGGAGGCCACTCTGGGGTTTCCCAGGATGGGCTACGACCTCTCAGAGCATGGTGGGGGTTAATGTTCACATCTGGTTACAAGAAATCGCATGTGGCTGGAGGGCAGATGCTACAGAGGTCTCATGCAGTCAGTGGTGCCCAGGTAGCTTATGATTTCACACACTCACTTAGCTTTCTCCCTCTGAGGTGTGTGTGTGTGTGTGTGTGTGTGTGTGTGTGTGTGTGTATGGCGGGGAGCAAGACCCCAGAGATTAACAGTTCACCCGTGTTTGTCATCAGGCTCACCCTGTGGATGTTTTCTTCTGAGCTCATCCAGATTTGGGAGGTTCTCTTCCAATTCAATGGATCATTTTTTAAATGACCTTAGATGACATTGATAAAAAGCTGAAATGTTAACATAATTCAGAAAAAAAATGTAAGAAGAGAAACACCTCCACACACACCTGCTTGCACACACACACATATCCWCRCATTTTCCACCTGTCCTGTGGTTTCTGTTTGCACAATAGTCCCAGCTCAGACCACTGGGGTAGCACACAGCTTCCATTGCAGTGGACATGCTGATTCAGCGGATGCAGTTTTGGAGTTCTCTGTGGTTCTTTGTAGTTACCCCCCTATGATCTTTGTAAACACAACTCACGTTGGTACTCTGCAATGTACCAATAAAAGTTTGCTTTTATTCCCTTGCAATCTTCTTTTCTCTTTATTAAAATCTAAAGAAAGTACTCATAATTTGAAGCAGAAAAACTCTTATSCTCTTTTGCCTTTGGATAACCTCCTCCCATTGCAAGTGTCAGGACTGAAACATTCTTGACTTTCCCCTTCATTCATAGATATTGGCTGTGTGTGTGTGTGTGCGTGTGTGTGTGTGYGCGYGCGCGCGCGCGCACGTATGTGCCCGCACCCTAATCCATGTCCAGTTAGGTCAGCTTGGCATCAGCCCCCAGGCATCCGGTGGTCAGCAGGGCAGACGCTAGGGCAAAGGGATGAAGGAACATAAGCCCACTGCTGTGCAAGAGGCTCTGAGGGCTCATTGGAGGCAGCCGAGGGTGGCAGTCATGGGAGGGGACTGGGAAGGCTCTGGAAGAGCAGCTGCTGAGCTGGGACCTCCAGGTGCCCTCAGGTGAGTGTGAGGACTTCACACAGAGGAAAAAGCCCTCCGCAGAGGCCAGGGGCCGTTTCAGAGCTGGCATCAGTGGGACACTGCTGGAAAGTCCCCAGTGACCAAGTGCAGTCTCATGGGCCCTCGGGAGGTGAGCGGTCATGGGTGCACAGTTGCAGCAGGCTGTGGATCTCCTCAGTCGGGCATGAGTGGGGCTTACAGGTGCGCTGTAGGCTGGGCCTGGCTGGGGTCCTGCTGCCCCAGGCCCCCCCTGCTCTGCAGTCCCCTGGCCTACCGCGCTGGGCAGGTCCTCCGCACACACGTGCTAATTGGGTGGGTGAGGGACAGGTGGACGGGTCAGGGGAGGGGCACTTGCTTTCTCTCTGGAAGGTCACCTTCTTGGCTGCCTGCAGAGCTAAGCCGAGGAGGGAAGATTGGCTGGGAGGCCGGAGGGTCCCCCCGTGGCCCTGGCCTTTCCACTCCAGCCAGGGGCTGCTCTAAGGCTGGTCTTTCTCCACACAGGAGATGCTCTGCTAGACCTCGTCAGGGCTCTTCCTGGCCTGGAGATGCTGGTCTCCAAGAGCAAGAGAGCCGCGGCAGGCCTCCTTGGGAACGCCACAGCCTGCCTCCTCTGGACGCTGCTGCTGTGGAGCGGGGACCGCGGCTGCCAGGCCCAGCGGGCAGGTAGGGCGCCGTCACAAGCCATGCCGAGTGTACAGCAGCAGGCAGCACGCACGGCCCTGCACCCTCAGTGTGGGGTGTGGGCCTGTGTGAGAGCCAGTAGCCCAGCAAGTGGGTGCKCCCAAGGTCCTCCAGTGGTGTGAGGAATAGCCAGCTATTGCGTCAGGCCCTGAGTGTGAGGGGGTATGAGTGGGTGTGAGCATGTGAAGGAATGTGAGAGAACATGAGCACGTGTTTGAGTAAGTGTGTGTATGTGACTGAGCATGTGTGAATGTGCATGTGAACATGTGTGTGTGCACATGTKCTGTGTGTGCATGCATGTGCTRTGAGTGTGCTGTGAGCATGTGTGAGTGTGACTGTGCAATTGTGCTGAGTGTGTGTGTGAGCATGTATGTGAGTGTGAATGTGACTGTGCATGAGACTGTGAATGTGTGTGCATGCATGTGCTGTGAGTATGCATGTGAGCATGTGTGTGAGTGTTCATGTGACTGTACATGTGACTGTGAGTGTATGTGCATGCATGTGCTGTGAGTGTGTATGTGAGCAGTGTGAGTGTGCATGTGACTGTGTGCTGTATGACTGTGTGAGTATGCATGTGAGCGTGTGCGTGTGAGCAAGTTGTGARTGTGAGTGCACACGTGTGGGATAATTGTGAGTGGCTATGGGAGAAGGTATGATGGTGTGACCCTGCATGACTGTGTCTGTGGGTGTGAGGGAATGGGTGTGAGAGAGGGAGAGGGCAGTGCGTTGCTGTGACAGGTCCGGTCAGTGGCATGATGTGCCGTGAGCCTGGCCCTGTCAAGTGCATGCAGGGTTTGGGGCRGGGGCCGAGGGCGGGTTAGGGTTAGGGTAAGGCCCTGTCATGGTATTCTGCTCTGCGAAGGCTTTGGACACATCCCGGGTGTGGTGACTGGTGGACACACTGGGGTCCGTCAGAGAGTTTCCAGGACACAAGGAGAAATCCCTGTGGAGTTGACCAAGGCTCGGTAACATTTACTGGACATGGGACACCAGGGGCCCGGGAGGTTGAACTGTGACAGGGTGGTTTTGCTGGGCAGCCAGAGGGCCCTGCAGCGGGGGAAGGCCCTGGCAGTGCTGAGAGACGATGGAGGGTCAGGAGCACAGCCAGGCTGTGACCACAGCACCTTCACAGAGTGGGCATTCAGGGTCCTCTGCTCCTATGGTTGGGGCTGTGGGGACTCCCCGAGGTGGCAGATCCAGGCATGAAATGCCACTCCCAGTTTACAGATGAGGAGCTGAGGCCGCCAGGCCCCAAGCCACAGAAGTGAGGCTGGGAGAACATGGAAAGTGACAGTGACGTGCTAAAACTTTCTTCTGTGAGCCTCAAAAAATGAAGTTCACGTTATTTCTTTAACAATTTTACAGCATTTTCTTATGTATTTTACTTTGCCTAAGACTCTCGAAGCCTGACTCACTAGGAAGTCTAGACACTATGGACATCCAGTTTGTGTGTGAGGTCTCTGGGGCTCTGTGTCTGTCAAGTCYGCCTCAAATGTGCAGTTGATTCAAAGACGGAAGACATAGCAGTTTTCTCTCCCAGGCCCTCACCTCTCAGAGTGGAAGATGCCCAGCGTGAGGGCAGAGGGCACCTGCCAGGGCCTTTGGCTTCACAGAGCCCAGGCTATAGCACTTGATTTTCATGTGCCCACAATCTGGGCTGTTCCTTTGCCTCCAGGAGAAAAATGTGCAGAGAGCTCAGAGGGGCCTCTCAGTGAGGCCTCCCCAGCAAATGAACCTTCAGCTTTAGAACAAATTTGCTCTAGGATTATAGCCTACAGGCCCTGCCTGGCCCTCAGCAGCAATTATCCTGAATAGGCAGGGACATTCCTATCCTAAGGACAAAAGGATGACCTTTGTGTCAAGGAAAGCAACTCCCCGGGAATTATCTCTGAGTCTACACATCTGGGCAAACACACTCCAAAAGCCCTAATCCTGTTAGGTACAATCCTGCCAAGACCCTCGAGGTGCAGACAATAACTTGGATTTTGAAAACAGGAAGGAAAGATAGGTATGAAATATTCAAGAGTGGCTTTGGTCAGGCCTAATTGTGCATGCGTGTGTGTGTGTGCATGGTGTATGTGTGTTTGTGTGTTTGTGTGTGTGTGTGTAATTACATATAGCTCCATTGTTTTTCTGACTTTTGGACTCAATTGCTTGCACATATAAGAGCGGAAGATATAGAATAATAAAGTTCATCCGTAGCTCTACTTGCCATTGGTGAGCACTGCTGCTCAGCTGTAGGTTCTCTGAGGCACATGTACACAACTACACACACACACACACACACACATACACACAGAAATTGCTTTCCAGAAATCTCTTTATATTATACACAATACTTTGTAAACAACTTTCACACTCAATACTCTTTTGGGAAGCGTGTCCACACTGGTAGATGTGGGTTCCCTGGCAGCCATGACTGTGTGTGATCCATGCCTTGGCATCCAACTGCATGGATCAAGTGCACAATGGCATCGAGTTGTTCCACACAGGCCATGGCTAGGATGTTTCCTTAAATTCTCTGATCATGCTCTGTAATATTCCTAGTATATCTTTTTTTAAAAAATTTAGTTGTAGTTGGACACAATACCTTTATTTTATTTATTTATTTTTATGTGGTGCTGAGGCTTGAACTCAGWACCTCACACATGCTAGGTGAGTGCTCTACCCTGAGCCACAACACCCTAGTATATCTTTTATTCTTCCATCTTTTTTTTTTTCTGTTTTCTTGGGATCAATCACAAATTTGGAATTGATGGATAAAAAAATTCCATCCTTTATGAGAATGATGTGGCAAATTGTATGGCCACTTGTTGAGCAGATAGATGTCTTCTCCTCAGATTCACAGTGACCATCACTCTTTTTTGAACTTTGCCAATCTGGTATTTTAACTAAGTGTTTTTTTGTTTTGTTATGTTCCGTTTTCACTATCTGCATGTTCGGATTTGTGTTCTAGAGGCTTCTGCAGTGCTGCTGCTGGTGTGACCAACAGCACCTTCTGGAGTGGTCAGCACCCAGGCTTCTTGACGGTTCCCCTGTATGTGCACCACTCTGGGGTTTAGGACAACACTTTTCCCACATCATCTAGTTATAAGATGGATGAATAAACTTGCTGCACGGGGCAGATGTGAGGATGAGGAAACTTGGTTTGTTTAAACAAAAGCATCATTAGTTTAGGTAAAATCTATAAGCTATAAAGCATATAGCATAAAGCATTATAGAAATTCTTAAATTTGTATTGAAAATACACAAATGGGAGATATCCTATATGTAGTAATGATGAATGAAATACTATAAACTATTTAAATATCCAGCAAGAGTGTGCATCAATCAACTGTGTACATCCTTACAGGAAAGGCCAGGGAAATGGCCTTATCAACCAGRAACTGATTTCTAGCATAGTGCTAGGTGTGGGTAAACAACTTGAACATCAGGTCTAATTCCCAGTAACTAAGCGGAAATTGAAGGTAATCAAGGATGTATACCACGACTAACAATGTTGTCTCTGTGGATGGGAAAACCAGTGTTCAGTTTGTGATTGCCTTTTCTGAGTTTTCTGAAATAGGCTTATGTTATTTGTAAGTAGGTTTAAAAAATAGCAATAATAAAATTTACTTTTAAACCAAAATTGAAGTGCAGAGATAGACGCCTAGTGGCGTTCCAAGGGTGTGAATCATTTTAAGGTGCTGTCACTATCCTCAGTGGAATTCACAGCAAGCTTGGGGAGGCCCCTCTTGTTGCTACCAAACAGGAGCCCTGTGCTCAGAATCCCGATTGTCACCTGCAGTAGTGGCAGAGCAGGCAGGTACTGGAGTCAGGMGCCTGTGGTCCCAGTGTCCACTCCTTTAGGGCCTTGGGGACATGCTTTTCCACAACCCATCTGCGCTATGTCACCCTTTCTCTTGCCCCTGCAGGCTGCAAAACTGTGCACTATGATCTGGTGTTCCTCCTGGACACCTCCTCCAGCGTGGGCAAGGAGGACTTTGAGAAGGTCCGTCAGTGGGTGGCCAACCTGGTGGACACCTTCGAGGTGGGCCCAGACGGCACCCGCGTAGGTGTGGTGCGCTACAGCGACACGCCCACCACTGCCTTTGAGCTGGGCCGCTTCAGCTCCCGGGAGGAGGTCAAGGCTGCAGCRAGGCGCATCACCTACCACGGAGGCAACACCAACACGGGCGACGCGCTGCGGTACATCACCAGCCGCAGCTTCTCCCCGCAGGCCGGCGGGCGGCCCGGAGACCGTGCCTTCAAGCAGGTGGCCATCCTGCTGACCGACGGCCGCAGCCAGGACCTGGTGTTGGACGCGGCCACCGCCGCCCACGCTGCAGGCATCCGCATCTTTGCGGTGGGCGTGGGTGCGGCGCTGAAGGAGGAGCTGGAGGAGATCGCCTCGGAGCCCAAGTCTGCCCATGTCTTCCATGTGTCCGACTTCAACGCCATCGACAAGATCCGTGGCAAGCTGAGGCGCCGCCTGTGTGAAAGTGAGTGGCCTGGCCTCCCTGTGTGGAGTTTGTCCCAGTCCAAGGGCAGCGTGCCCTGCGACCAGCATGGTCAGTGTGGGTGTAGCGAGGCAAACGAGCAGCGCAGCAGGCGGAAGTTAGGTGAACAGCAGGTGCGGGGACAGAGAAAGCCGCCCTGCCCAGGGGTCAGTGTGGTAATGGATCTGGTGGACCAGCCAGCCAGTTATTAGGGAGTCTGTCTTCCCACTTCTGGGGCAGAGATGGAAAGGGCTTTGGGATTAAAGTCTTCCTTCTAAATCCTCACCCCACTGTGAGATGCAGGAGGACTAAAGGCCTGAGCRTCCATCTTCATCTCTGAGCTGGGAACATGGTCTTCCAACCACCAAGGCAGCACTTGAAAAGTCCCCACTGAGGCATGTGGCAGGTGGCAAGGTCTCCTAAGGGGCTTCAGTGAACCATCAAACAAGAACATGGGCATGCACAGGGTATGTGAGCTAACGGGCCAGCAGTCCAGCTGCAACTCTTCAGAGATGGTCAGGGGCTGCCTCTCCCAGCCAAGTGCTCTTGACCTGCAGCCCTGTGAGATAACCCCAGTTCTTGTTTGTCTGGAATCCGTCTCATTGTGGCTGGGGGAGGACGGGCCATTGGGCAGGAGGCAGGCACAGAGCATGAATGGCTCTGGGGCTGACCTGGAAGCCTGACCTCCAGGATCTTACTTAGTGGGTCATTCTGAGGACAGCCCCCTCCCCAGGATAAGGAAGACGAAGTGGTTTTCTCAAGGTCCAGCTTATCTGTAGTTTCTACAGGTTAGACCTGGATGGTGCCTGTATCTTTCCCCACCAGGCCTGGCAGGGCTGTGCCTTGAGGCTGGGGAGGTGGGGGCTATAGACAGTCAGTGGACTAGTCTGAGTCTGTCTTATTTACAACTGCAGGGGACCCGCCAACCCCTCACAGGGAAGCCCAGTGGTCCAACCTCTACCAGGAGCAGGGATGGTCCTAGGGTTTGGGCAAGTGCTGGGAGGGACTGGCAGTGAGAGCAACTGGGCACAGGCCTGGCTCGTGCCCAGTCAGCACACAGCTGAACTACTCTAGGAACTGGATGGTTCTTGGTTTCTTACCACACRCGGAGCTTATCTCTCTGTTGCTTATTTAATCTCCACTTATTTTTTTCAACAGAAATGCATTGAGGATCAACTTTTTGTGCAACTTTGTGCTGATTTCTGGGGCTATAGAAAAACATGAGACCTAGCTCCTATCTTCAGTGTGTTCCTCATCTARAAGCCAGGAAAGACAGGAGAAGAGCATGTGATACTGGGTGGTTGAGGGGTGTCTTCATAAAGGTTCAGGCAGTCCCATGGGCTGGGGTTTTGTGTGGTGATGGCGGTAGTGATGTTGAGGAGGGAGGGCGGGCTCCCTGGAGGAGGTGTGCTCAGGTTGTTGGTGAGCTGTGGAGGGAGGAGGAGGTGGTGGGGTGGCATGAGGAGATGCCACAGCACAGTGTCTGAGGTCATGGGGAAGTGGGGGCTTTGTCAGGTTATCAGAATTTCAATTGAGAAGACTTGTGTGCTAAGGTGAGGATGTGGTAGGATTTTATGCAGGAATGTGACAGTTTATTAGGCAACAGGGCTAGGAGCAGATTCCAGCCTCAGGCCTCCCTCTTCCTGTCTCCAGGGGCTGGTCTCCTCCCRTGTGCCTATGGAATGCAGCTGTCACCATCATGCCACCATCCATGGTTGGATGATGCCTCAGAGCATAGACCACAGAAGTCCCCACTCTAACTGACTTGAAGATTGAAAAGGCCAGAAGTCAGGCAGCTTGGCACCATGAAAGCAGGCCATACCAGGCTTCTGTCTGGGTGGTAATGCAGCACCCCCAGACTTGTGTGTAGGCCCCTGCAGTTAATGGGTCCACTAGTGAGACACGGATGAAGGTTCTGCTTAGAGAAGGCTCAGATCGAGAGATGGGCTGGATGAATAATTTGCCTGACTCCTGAGGGCTGAGGACGTACTCCCAGCAGCAGCTCTGCCTTGGAGGTCTCAGTTGCCCACCAGACTGCAGCGAAAGGAACCGGAAGCCCCACCCCCGCCCGCCCTTCCTGCTTGGCTGGGCCTCCAGGTAGCCTGGCCTCTTCTGATACCAGCTGACAAGAGTCTAGGTGCTGTCGTCCTGGTGGCCTCCTGAGGCTGGCAGAGGAGAGGATGATAGAAGCGGGCCGACTGGGGCTAGTAAGACACCTCCCAGCGCCCTTAGAGCTCCGCGGGCCTGCCTATCCAAGGGGAGGGCAGTTCTCCCCCCTCCCCCGTCTGACATTCAGTCTGATTGGCTAAGGAAGGTCATGTGACTGCTCCTTGGCCAATCACTAGCCTCAGAGTGTAAGCCGGCTGCAGGCGCTAGGGATAGGGSCCTTAACCCCTGTAGTCTTTTTAACATTCGGGAGTGGAGGTAGTTACCACACCTGTGCCTTTGAGAAAAGGAGTCTGATACATGGAGGAAAAGTAGCCGGTACCTTAAGAGAAGGAGAAGCAGGTGCGGACCAGCTGAGAACGAGTCTGTGCACCACGATAACCTTGGGAAAAACTCTCATATCCCCGTAGCCAGGGTGCTCCAAATGCCTCCCTGGGAGATTCCAGTTCTCACTCAGTTGCCTAAGGCGAATCCGTTTTTGTAAATACAGCTGCACCATGAAGAGGGCTTGATCTATTTGGTGACAAACCAAATAAAATGCCCTAACAGTGGCTTCARTTAAAAACAAAGGAAAACAAAAATAAAAGCTCTAACAGTAACATATTGGAAACATCTGGTAAGATTAGATCAAGAGGGCCACAAAATCCACACACCAGGAATCCCTCTGCACAGGATAGAAGATGCCCCTGAGTGACTTCACAGCCTGAACTGCACGGGAGCTGTTCTGAATAGGGGCCTATTGATGGTCTGGAACGTGGCAGAATAACAATAGGGGGTTATTTTATGTAGCAGGAATTCATAAGACCCATCTAGTCATGCATTTAAGGACCATGTATGGTGGCAGCTGTTAAATTCAATCTAATCCTTTGGTCACTTTGTAACCGTGCATGATAGTAGACTTTGTTCATTTCCACCCATCCATTCCTTCATTTTTATTCATTTAAACATACATTGAGTGGTTCTTTGGTGTTGGGGCACAGCCAGGGACCCAGGATACAGGGATGGAGTTGGCATTCTCTTTGACCTCAAAAAGCACCTGTCCACTTGGGACAGCAGGAAAGTGGCAGACAGCTACACTATTGGGTGTGTGCACTGGGTGTCACCTATGTGTTATGTAAGTGAGCCTCTTGCAGCCTCGCTCCATCTTCCCCAGCCGCAATGTGGGCCCTGACACCATGCAAGTGGGAGCCTGGTGCTCCTGACCTGCTTGTTCAATGTGTGTGACTACTGAGCATTTGGCGTGGGGCTGGCCCAAACTGAGCCCTGCTGCAATTGTAAAACACACACTGGATTTTGTAGATTTAGCATGAATAAAAGAAAGTAATGCAGCTATGAATTTTTATATTGACTGATTATATATTGAATTGATAATTTGGAAAAATAGACTTAAATACAAGATATTAGTAAGAAAAAACCTATCTTGTTTCTTTTTATTACTTTTAATGAGGATACTAGAAAATTACTGCATATGTGGCTCACATTTTCTTTTGGGTTGTTGCCCTAGGGGTCAAGATCATTGCATGGTTGGCAGCATGGATGGATAGTAGTGGTAGTGAAGGGGTTGGGTTGGCAGTGTAGACAGTGGATATGATCCCACTTTCTTGGCCATTACACTTATTATTAGTGTGATATTTAGCACATTACCTGATATCTGTGAATTTTAGTTTTTTCAGTTACAGATAAAAATCTTTCTCCCTCCCCATATAATAGCATGCCTGATGCATCGTGGGCTTAAAGGATGGGGTGGTCATTGTTGCTGCCTCCTCCCCTCTCCCTCTCCTCCAACAATGCTGATGTTGGTGATGACGTATGAAGTTCTGGTTGCTTCCAAAGCCATGTGTGCTCTTTCCATTGAGCTTGGCTACTGAATGGAGGAAGGACAGCTCTGAGGACCAGCAGGTGTCCAGGGGCTGCCCTTTAGAGGGGAAGCTGAGTCTAGAGCCAATGAACAGGAAGTGAGGGACTGGTGTCCATGGTGGAGTGCAGTGTCCCCCTGCCCTAAGACAACAGGGGTTGGAGTCTGTGGGCAGAAGCTGATCTGGAAGCCAGCCAGGAGTGGCCAAATGGGCAGAGGAGGGGTGGTGGGCTGAACTTCCTTTGGATATCCCATGCAGAAGACTTTCCATTGTCCAAATGCTTTTGGACCACCTGTGGACCTCACCTGTCCTACTTCTCAGGTCTCGGATGCCCCCATTCAGTGTTCTTTTAAGAGCTATGTTGGAATCCCAGTCACACAGCCTGCCACCCAGGGCTCAGCGGCAGGGCATAAGTGGGTGTGAATAGTTAATTTTCTCTTCATACGTGTCTGACTGTCTCTGTGCTCACATACACGGCAGATGTGTCTGCACAGAGTTGGCACCATGCTATCCCGACTTACCACGGAGGGCACGGTGCCTGAAGAACTTGAGTTACTCCTAAGGTGGCCTAGCTTCCTGAGGGCTGAGTGGGGAGTTTAGCCTTGCTGTGCTTGACCCCAGGTTCTGAGTTCCTCTGGCTGGTTCCACTTACATTAAAGAAGCAGCTTTAAATACCCATTTTACCAAAGTGTCATCAGGATCCTCCGCCTGAATGTCATGGTCCTTCCTGTCTTGTGGTTGATGGCACTGAGGTGCAGGGAGGCATGACAGGGACTACCGAGGATGACAGAGACCAGGAGCGGACTCTCGGCTGAGGGGTCTGCCATTAGCCGAGCCTCTTGCAGCCCGGGAGTCCTGTTGGACATGTGATACTGCACTTTCCCTGGTCCCTTGCAGAGGTCTGTCTCATATTTAGTGACCAGTCGCTGCTGGCTGAGTAGCTGAGTGAAACTAAGGCTACTCAGAGAAATCATCATCTCT